CAGTTGGCTTGTTAGCTCAATTGGTAGAGCGCTGCACTAGTATCGCAGAGGTCAGTGGTTCGAATCCCGTACAGGCCTGAAATTTTTTTCAGGTCTGATTTTCACTATTGCTCAAATAGTGCTTTACTACGAAGGATCGTGCATATATACGTTTCATAACCGCAGTTCATACATATGTTTCATATGTTTGTTGTTATTATTAACTACAAATATTAAAATGATAAACGACAAAATATCAAAACAAACTGTAAGCCAGCTTGAATAGATGTGTCTTAAGCTTTGACTTAAAAATCGTTACACTTGGACTGTTTCGAATTTCAAGCGGCAGTTCGTTCCACAAAAAAGGTCCAGAACGGGCCTTTTTTGCCAAAAAGTAAGTATATGAATTTATTCTAATTGGCCTCATCGTTGACGATGGATGAATCATAGCTTTTGACTCAAACACTGCGTCATTTTTATTAGTTATCCAACCAAATTACAGTGAGTAACTCCCATTCGTGGACACTTACAAACATGCCCAAAAATACGCAATTTTGTGCAAAGATAAAATATCTTCCAAGCCCCAAAGATTCTTTCCCACAATGCTGTAAAACCCTGTAAAACCATCAGACACCGGTGTTTCTTAGTTTTTTAGTGTAAAATATTTTTCTCACCCAATCACTGACGAGCCGTGATGGTTCGTTTCCGAACAATAAACGTATCACTGAGCCAACTTTAACAACCATGGGCTGTGAACCGCTAACTCGGCGAAGCTCAGTTTCGCACTTAGATTGCTGTTATTTCTTCGCGACGCAGATAGTTTTACAATCGTGGAATTTAATTCTCAAGAGCTGATGGAGCTAAAAACCGAGACTGTTGTGAAGCGGATGGAAGGTCTGAGACGCTTTACATAGAGGACCGACTTGTTAAAAGGATAGATACTCATCATTATTACTTCGTGTTAAGGCCTGTCATAGAGCTATACCGCCACTGTAAGCTTTCCATATTTGTTCCGTAAAACTTTCGTCTAAAAATGCATTTTAAATTTTAAAGTCGTAGCCTAGTCATCAAGTGTTATGAAATGGTACATCAGAATATAAATTAAGTGCAAAATCTATCTCAAATTCAAAATACCCCTTTATTTTTAAATTGCTGACATATCTAACTTTCTTGTACAAAACCTCAAAACTCTTCAAAGCCGACACACTCAGATATATTTCCAGTGAGAAGCGACAACCGGTAATACATCTGCGTTCAGTAAGTAGGCTACATTCTCAAGAAATTCAATGTGATCCGTTAGCCAATTTTTCAGCGTAAATCTTCTAACTGAAAAAAATTTCCAAGTAGTCAACGTGGTCGAACGAGGGCCCTTTGTAGATCTTTTACGCGCCGCGTATGTCGATATCAAAACAATCAGTAAATGACTTTAACTTTGCGGTTCGTGTTTTACATCAGAGTTAAACGATCGAAACGATTTTACAGTAGCGCTTGGTTTGCACCAGAACTTAAGATAAAAATTCGAGTGTAAAAGGTGGAGATCGATCGTAAGAACTAAAGCAAATCCCGAGGTGTTTTCGGTCTCTCTTGAGATTATCTCTGGTTTGTTTTTTCTCCAACTTCTTTCGTCAGATTCTCAGTCTCGATTTTAGCAATTGTGCTTGATTGCGCATTTGTTAGGAATTTCGCAGCTTCTTTCACGTGGTAGACTAAGCGTGGTGACACAATTCACTGCAGCGAGATGCAGAAGTTACTACTTATTTACGTTCTTCGAAAAGCAAACGATTATTCTTGTCCGCTAAATTTTTTAGTATTTAAATGACCCAGCTGCTAATGTGGACGTAAATCGAATTCATCAGCCCGTGACTAAACTGTTCCCACGGCCCGTCTTTCACATCGTAAACTGAATCGAAATGTTCACAATAGTGTTTGGTTTGAGCCTGTACTGCTCGAATTTCTTTTCTTTTTTTTTTTTTCTTTCTTTTTTTTTTCCTTGTACAATGATGCTTTGTATAAACTCTAAAAAGAATTAAGAAAAAAGATTCGAGAGTAAAAAAAGGCCGGGAGCAATTCTTAGTTTTAGCTCAAATTTCTAAAGCGCGCTCACAATGAACAGTACTTAGCCAGAGAATTTTTCTCTTGTTGAGCTGTAACATCAAGGGAATTGATAAGATGTTTATTTATATGCCGACATTATGCTCGATGCTCTAACAGAAGCATTTTACCCAAATTTATTGCGGTATTTCTTATCTAACCTTTAGCACTACGGAGATGCCATACTTCTTAAGGGCACGATTTCCGCAGTTATCTGTTGAGGTCTCCGCTACTTTCCGAGAATGAACAATGAACATCGGTTTATAAACGAACTTGTACTTTTTATGGCGTTTCAACTAGATGACATCGTCTGACAACGTGATTATTTCGCTCAGCGTAAGGGGCATACGCAGCCATACGCGAAAAAATTTAACATTAAAAAAAAAAGGAATTAATTTCTACGTGCTTACAACTACGCCCTAGCGACTTTTAAGCCTGTAGATAAAAACTCAAGGTCAAACAAATAAAGATCCAGCTAGTTGGCTTTCAGAGGCAGCTCATTTGAATAAGGAAGGAAATTACAACAACGGCCTTTGATTACAGTCAATTCCCGTGACACCTTTACACTTCAGAGCTGTAAAATGCCCTCGCACATTAAACGGACAATGGTGGACAACAGAAAAAAACTAATATGGCTTGTTAGGGTAGGAAAAACAATATTTTGAAAGGAAGACTTCTTCGCACGTTGTGTATTCGCCCAAGTTTGATTTGGGGGGAATAATTTCGATTCAGTGCGAGTAAGTGAATCAAGCTTGGTTTTCCAGTTGGCAACTCACTTTTCCAGATTCTACATTAGTTCCCAGTCTACAGGACGGTTCGCAGGTTCTGTAGGTGAAGTAGTAAGGTACACTCGACAAAAACTGCGCATGTTCTAAACCTGGTGTATCTTCTGAGCCAACAGAGAAGGGAAGGTAGCAGAAGGAAGATAGGGAAGGAAGATAGATAGCAGAAGGAAGGTAGGGAAGGAAGAGAAGGGAAGCATCTGTACGTTGTTCTTAGAATTAAAACCAATGCCTGTAGATTTTGCGTCTAATGCGTATTAGGTTTAACGTTTCCAGCGGGTCTATTAATGTGGCTCGAGCTTCAAAGCAGTCTTAGTTATCTTTCCCGTTGAATCGTCGACATCATTTTCGGGTGTTACGAAAACGAAGACCCTCGAAAACGAAGACCTAAGACCTAAGACCCGGTCTTCGTTTTCGTAGCACGAAAACGAAGACCGTGTAAACAGAAAACAGTAGAAATTGCTGTAAACGCACATTAAACAGTAACAACGCTTAGTAATATAATACATTACACTTCACGCGTTTCTTTCCATTATTATACTGCCCGTATTATTGTACTGCCCGTATTATTATACGGGCCGTATTGTCAGTGTTCTGTTT